TCCAGCTGTGGGCTCTTTATGACAAAGGAATGACTTTTGGTTTGACTCAGAGAATGAGATGATTAGTCCCAAGATTCAAGTCAGGAACCCTGTCCTGAGCCCCCAGGTCCCCAGACTCAGTGCCCCTCCCCATGTGCACTCTGCACGCTCCCATTACATCTCACTCACCAATTCTTCTGCTTCTCCCCCTGGACTGTGTGTAGGGAGCTTCTTGCAGTTGAGGCTGTCTTTTTATTTTTTCTGTATCTCCATGCTTACCATTGTGACTAGCACATAATAGGCAATTAACATTTTTAAAAATGGAATTCCTTTTTTTCCTCTAAACAACTTGTAATACCCTTCACTGAGGTAGGAGCTGTGAATAGAAGAGAATACAGTACACAACTGTAGGAAATTCTGGTACAGCAGAGGCACCATATCTTGGTGGTTAAGAGCATGACTTCCAGAGTCATATTGCTGGGTTTGTACCTAACTTTGCCTCCTGCTAATCGTATCATCTTGGGAAAGTTCTTGACTGCTCTGCGTCTCAGTTTCTCACCTGTAAAATGGGAATAACAATAGGTCCCACCTCAGAGTTGTTGTGAGGATTAAATGAATTAATATAGTAAAAGTGCTTGGAACAATGCCTGGTGTGTTAATAAGGCAATATAAGTGTTATCTGTGACTATTGTGATTATTATTGTCATTATTATTAAATTGGTAGAAAGTTTTCTGTTCCCTGCTCTCACTAACAGCCCAGAAATTTTCTGGAGGATGCCATTGTTGACCAGGATCTGATTTGGTGGAACAGAGATTGTGGCCAAAGATATATAAATTAATAAAATTTAATTCCAGGCATGAAGCTTGAACCTGGAATCCCAATCACCCTAGGACAAGACTCTTACCTAGGAAGAACCGGTACATTCTTCTTCCCTTAACCTTTAGACTCCTGAAGTATTTAATACTCTGATCTTTCGTGGGGGATGGTGGCACCAACAAGAATGTCCCAGATTCAGATATTAAAAGGAAAAACAAAAATATACTGCAACAAAAGCAAATAGGAAAAAGGTTGAGATTTTCATACTATCCATTTAGTGAAATGGATCCTTGCATGAGTTCTTTCTTCAGAGTATCATTACCTCTTACCTGGTCTATGACAACACACTTGTAACAGGTCTTCTCCAATTCATGTTACACTGATTTTAGTTGAGTGTCCCTAAAACAGGGGTTCTCAACTTTGGTTGATTATTGGAATCACCTGGGGAACTTTAAAAATGATTGAAACCCACACAGAGATTCTGATTTCCTTTGTTGGGGATATGGCCTGGGCATTAGGATTTTATAAGCTCCTCAAGTAATTCTACTGTGCTATCAAGGTAGAAAACCACTGCCCAAATGTGCATACAAATCACTGGGGATGTTGTTAAAATGCAGAATCTGGTTTAGTAGGTCCAGAGTTAGGGTCTGAGATTCTGTGTTTCTAATCAACTCCCAGGTAAAGCAGATTTAGCTGGTCCATAGGTCACACTTAGAGTAGCAAGGGCTTGGAGAACATGATAATATGATTCTGTTGCTCAATAACATAAACGGCTTCCTCTTACCCACATATAAGATGCCTCAGCCTGGCATCAGAGACTGGCATCACAGGCATTTAAGACCACAGCAGTGGTTCTCAAATGCGACGACTGATCCTCTCAATGACCCCTGGGCAGGTTTTTAAAAAATACAGATTCTTAGGCCCCACACCAAATCTACTAAATCACAATATTTAAGGTGCAGCTAGTACAAAGTTATTTTGAAAACACTTCCCAAGTAGTGTAGATGATCAACAAGCTTTGGAAATAGCAATATGCTTCCAATATAGTTTTCCAGGTTCATTTCCCATTAATTCAACTAACAAACATTTATTGCATCTGTCTCATACCAGGTACTAGAGGAACAGAGATGAAAACAGTGCCTTTTTTTTTTTTTTTTTTTGGCAGCAGGGGATAGGGGGATCTGAGCCCTTGACCTTGGTGTTATGACACTGGGCTCTAACCAACTGAGCTAACCAGTCAGCCCAAAACAGTGCCATCTTTACCCTTGAGGGGCTGGCAGGATAAATGACCAAAACTAGAATATTTACTATTCCCCAGACATGGTCTAAACACTCACACATTTGCTTAAGGTCTTCTTAAGAATGTCTCTGCTGTACCGGTTATGACACTGGGCTCTAACCAACTGAGCTAACCAGTCAGCCCAAAACAGTGCCATCTTTACCCTTGAGGGGCTGGCAGGATAAATGACCAAAACTAGAATATTTACTATTCCCCAGACATGGTCTAAACACTCACACATTTGCTTAAGGTCTTCTTAAGAATGTCTAGGCTCCTCAGCACCCCATCACTGCCTGTCTGAACCAAACTGGACACCCTCTTTACCCCATTTGAGCCCTCATACTCATCTCTTCGAACTTACTCTTCTTGGTGATAAGAAAGATCCAGAAAGGAGAAAGGATCTACCTAAGTGAAATAAAAACAATAGTTTACATTTATATAGTGACTTCCATGTGCCAGCCATTGTTCAAAGCATGTTACATATGCAATCTTTTAAAATTCTCACAATAACCTTATGAGACAGGTATTATTACAATCCCCATTCTGTGAATGAGAAAAGAGAGGCTCAGAAAAGTCAAGCAACTTGCCCAAAGGCGTTGCAAGCCAGGGTTTACTCTTAAGCCTTATGCTCTACTGCCACGTTGGTGACAGGGCTGAAATTATATAACTTCTAATTCTCAGGCCTGAGCACTTTCCTGGTAATCAGTTATTTGCATGCTTGTTTGACAACTTAAATTGAAGCATGAAGGTGAGGATGATGTCTTACGTCTCCCACACTGCCTAGTAGGTGTGCAAGCACTCAGTAGGTGCTCAATAAATGATTATTGGCTGGGCTGTCCCATTGTCGGGAGGGGGAGGATGGATAACGATTTAAACTAGCCGACAACAAACAAAGAAGTGCAATGGTCTACAGGTTTCATGTCACCATTAGATCTCTCCCCAACCCCAAGCAGGAGGACCCTCCAGCTCTCCCGGCTCCGGATCTGCGCTCCGTCCTCCCAGCCGGCAGGTGCCCCCAGACCCCCGGCTCCTCCTCCTCCGCCGTCACAGCTTCGTCGTCTCCCCCTCGTTCCGCCGCTTCCTGTCGCGGGGATCCGGGCCCTGAGCTGTGGGCGCCCGGGCGCCCGAGGCTTGCCAGTGCGTTCCGCCAGGTAACAGCGCGGCGCGGACCGCGCGGCCGGGTGGGCTCCGGGCCGGTCCTCCAGCGCGGGGGTCTCGTCCCCCCGGGCCACTGGTGGGGAAGGAGGCGGGCCTCTGAAGGGGAGGGGATAACGGTCCGGCCCCGGGGCTCCGAGCCGGGCGTGGCGGCAGACCGTAGGCACGGAGATGCGATCGCGCGCCCTGCGAGCGCCCGGGGCTGCACCCGCCGCCGGCCACGCCTGCTCCGAGGCCCCGAGCCAGGGGGCCCGCCCATCGCTGCTCGGTGCCAGTCCCGCCCTGGAACAGGAGAAGCCAGAGAGGAGCCTTGGACTTGGAGCCGGAGTGGCCATCTAAATACCCTTCCGTTCTTTTACAAAACCAAGAGTAAAAAGCCGAAACCCAGGCATGGAGTGACTTTCCCAAGGTCACAGAGTTGTATCTGCCATTTACTAACGTCTGTTCTTTTATTGAAGTGTTCGTAAATGGGCTACTGTTTCCTCTGTTCTGCCAGGGAATTAGGATTCAGAGAACTCTAAAAATACTAATCGGCATATCCATATGAGCTGATCCGCATTACTGGCCAGTGACCCTGGCCTTCAAAAGGAACTAAGGGAGGACGGTTCTGTTCACTCTGGGTACTTTGCTTTCTGGCCCTTGCTCTGAAAATTGGCTTAGATGATTTACAAAATTTATCTCAGAACTCCATGTTGGAACTGGACCGGAACACAAAGTTCTTCAATCCTTCCCCCCCCTCCCTTCTTTTTCCTTCCCTTCCTTCTTTCTTTCTTCTTTTCCATCTTTTTTGTTTGTTTGAGAAAACAGGCTCTAGAGGTTAGGTTTGCCCACACTCTTATGGCTAGTTAGGGACAGAGACAGAATTGGAACTAAGGTTGGACACCTACCGTTTTCTTGAGTAGAAATCTGATTTCAGATGAAAGCTGTACAGAACTTGACCTTCTTAAAGCCCTCTCTGGATAGCATTCTTGGGAGTGGCTTGTGTATCGAAGTATGTGGGTCCACAGATACTATTTCACTTGTCAGAATAGGGTTTAGCAATAAGTGTAGCCATGCAGAAAATTCCTGCTGAGATGAGACAGATATCTGAAATGTTTTTGACTTTTTTGTTTGTACTTTCAAGAGACGCTAGTGAATGTTAATAACATCTTGATCGTTTTTAGATTTTAGTCGTATGTGACTAAACTGACTCAGTTATAGTTGTTCTTGTCCTAATGTATTTATCGCCAGTAAAATGTAGCTTTCTGATTTTGTTTCATTTTTAACTGAATAATTTCCTTAAAGGTATTTTTATATCTAAATAAAAACTCCCCTCTTATACCTCAGAATCCTTCTGCTTCCCTGTTGGCAAATCTTTGAGTTGGATTTCAGAAATGAATAGAATTAGGACTTTTCCCCCTCTTCCAAGATGTCTGCACTATTTGTTTAGTTCGATATTTAGGTTTACCCCAAGTTTTGAATTTGACTGATAAACCTGTGACCCAAATCCAAACCTCAGCTGAATTTAGTATCAGCTTAAAACCACATTAAACTGCCATGTGTCATGTGACAGAAACCAAAGTGGTGATGTTTTCGTTTTTTCTTTAGAGCTTTTCATTGGGATTTTTGAAATGTGAAGACATTATCTAATACATGTACTTTATTATCTGTGTTTTATTGTGCAAGGTCAGTCATTGCTGGAGGGTTATTATTGACATTTATGATCTATAATATATGTTAGACAGCCTACCAACTTGGAATGCAGTTCCTGGTTTCCAGCTTACAGCTTTCACCAGTTGCCAACATGTTATCTCTAAGGAACATGAAGTTATAAACACAACCATACTGAAATAGAAGATTCTTGGCTATGTAGATAAGAAAGAAGTGTTTCAGTAAAAGCAATGTTTTTGTACTATTCTATAGTAGAAATGAGGACATATACACAAAACAATGTAATGCTGTTTTCTTAGGGTGCATCCTTTGTTTTTCCTGTTTTGGTCTTTTTATCATAGGATGGCATTAGCTCTGTGTCTGCAGGTGCTGTGCAGCCTGTGTGGCTGGCTTTCGCTCTATATTTCTTTCTGCCGCCTGAATAAGCACCGAAGCTATGAGTGGAGCTGTCGGCTGGTTACCTTCACCCATGGAGTCCTCTCTATAGGCCTCTCAGCTTATATTGGCTTCATTGATGGTCCTTGGCCTTTTACCCACCCAGGTAGGTAGGGGATGTTAGTGTATTTGCCCTTAGGGATTTACAATTTGGGGATAGTCTTAGAGGGGTGGGGCTTTTAAACAGAATTTGTACAATTTTGAAGCATATTGATGAATAATTCCCATTTAATTTATATTGGGATCGTCAGTCATCATTTTTGACTCTGATATTGTTTATGTCACCTGTTGTTTCTGCTTTTCATAACTCTACTTTTAAAACAAATTTTAAAGGTCAAGGGTGTGGATCCCTGTACCGGCCAGCTACCAAAACAAAACACAAACAAACAAATTTTAGATTTCTTATTACAATTGAATCAATCAGCTATGTACAAAACATAAAGCCCATGTCAACATCTACCACCACCCCCAAACAGACACAAATAGAACTGTATTATACATATTTTTTGGTAACCTGCAATTTTTACTTGTATATTCAAAGGACATCATCTTTGCATGTCTGTGTATATAGATCTTCCATATCCTTTTTATTTGTTACATAATATCGTGTTGTATGCATTTACCATCACTGATTTGACCAGCGCCTCACTATTTTGGGCAGCTATATTAATTTTTAAGTCACCAGATATGCAAGTGTTACTTCCTTAGTATACAAAATTGTATCCCTTTGTATTAGTTGGCTTGCGCTGCCATAACAAAATACCACAGACTGGGTGGTTTAAGCAACAGAAGTTTATCTTCTTATAATTCTGGAGGCTAGAATTCCAAGCTCAAGGTGTTGGCAGGTTTGGTTTTTCTCAGGCCTCTCTCCTTGGCTTGCACATAGCTGCCTTCATCCTGTGACCTCACATGGTCATCCTTCTGTGTGTGTTGTCTACATCTTACTTATTATTAGGACATCAGACATACTGGCTTAGGGCCTACCCTAATGACCCGATTTTAACTTAATTACCCCTGTAAAGGTCCTGTCTCCAAATATAGGCATATTCTGAGATATTGGGGGTGAAAGGGCTTCAACATATGAATCTCAGGTGGATGCAATTCAGCACATAACCTGGAATATGATTTTTTAAAAAATTTCTTAGGGCCGGCCCGGTGGCGCACTGCTACAGTGCGCCGCTTGGGAGCGCAGCGGCGCTCCCACCAAGGGTTCGGATCCCACATACAGACCGGCCGCTCACTGGCTGAGCGAGGTGCGATCCCGTTGCCGGTCCCGGTCCGGTACGGGCGCGACACTGAGGGTTGCGATCCATTGCCGGTCAGCCGCTCACTGGCTGAGCGAGGTGCGATCCCGTTGCCGGTCCCGGTCCGGTACGGGCGCGACACTGAGGGTTGCGATCCATTGCTGGTCACGAAAAAAGACAAAAAGGAAAAAAAAAATTTCTTAGATTATTATTTTTTTGAATATCCTTAGATTCACATATTGAGCTTCTGAGTTTTCCCCATACTGTCAAACTGATATGAAAGCAACTCTTAAATGTTTGAACATGTTAAGTCCTTGCACCTGATGTTCTTGGACATGGGGACACACTAACTTCTGGGGTTCTCTCCAGAGTCCACTTTCAGAATGGGTTAGGGCCACCATTGTCCAATAACCTAATCCATTAAGCTAAGAAATTAATCTGACATTCAGGACAGAATGACTGAAGAGTCTGGAAACAGACTGTTAGCTGGTTTAAAAAAAAAAAAAGAAAAAAGATATAAAGAGACAATGTAGGATTTTAATTAAAAGAACAAAATAACTCAATTTTATGCTGTTCCATAAAGAGGACACTGAGATTATTGCCTATGCTCAAATCACTGAGGTCTGATTCAACAGAACAGCATCTCCTGGGGCCTGAATATTGGTTTGGTAAAGACCGAGGTTTTAGATTTTGTCTGCCTTTGGTTATTATTAAAAAGAATGTGCCTGCACTGTTTTTGTCATCTTCGGTGATTTCCTACGGTTTGAAAGACTACAACACAGGCTTCCTGTGTGAGGAAACACAATTCCTAGTCATTTCAGTTTGCTTCTGTCTTGGTTTATTTCAGGCTCACCCAATACGCCTCTCCAGGTGCACGTTCTGTGTCTCACCTTGGGCTATTTCATCTTCGACTTGGGCTGGTGCATCTACTTCCAGTCTGAAGGTGCCCTGATGCTGGCTCACCACATATTGAGTATCTTGGGCATCATCATGGCCCTGGTGCTTGGGGAGTCAGGCACAGAGGTCAATGCCGTCCTCTTTGGAAGTGAGGTCACCAACCCCTTGCTACAGATGCGCTGGTTTCTCCGTGAAACAGGGCACTACCACAGTTTCACTGGAGATGTGGTGGACTTCCTCTTTGTGGCTCTGTTCACTGGAGTGAGGATTGGTGTAGGAGCTCGCCTCCTTTTCTGTGAAATGGTCTCACCCACTCCTAAGTGGTTTGTGAAGGTTGGGGGAATAGCCATGTATGCTGTGTCTTGGTGTTTCATGTTTAGTATCTGGCGCTTTGCATGGAAGAAAAGCATCAAGAAATACCATGCCTGGAGAAGCAGGAGGGGTGAGGAACGGCAGCTAAAATGTAATGGACATCTCAAGACGCACTAGCCAAGGCTCATTCCAGATAATGGACTGGGTTAAGTCAGCCACGGGAACTAGGTTGGAAATATGGTTGTGGAATCACTCTGATAACAAACTTAGGTTTCAGAAAAGGGCTAAATTTATTGATCAATTTGGTCAGTCATCAAGCCAAGCATATACCAGTATTAAAACACTAACTTCTACAGTGGCACAGTTGTAGAAGGAGAATCCTTAGTGGTAGTTGGGAATAAGTCAGAACCATGAGGTGAGTATTTCTAGTATTCGTTTTAGTTTGTGGCGACCCTGGGTCCTCTTGTCCAAGGGAGGTTTGACCTTCAGACAGCTTAGAAAGGAGCTCGAAAAAGATTAATGCTATTTCTTGTTCCTTTGAGAAGTAACTCTTTCAACAAACACTTATTCCTGCTTTGCATGTAGCAATTTATGTAACTTCACCCCATTTACTATAAAGTGAAGGACCTTCAGGAAGAGACATGCCTTTGGCATTCTGAGCATTGGGTGAGAGAACTGGATCTGCTTAAACAAAGGGGGATAGAAGGATGAGAGTGAAATTGTGGAAGCAGTGGGGGTGGGGGTTACTTAGTGAACTTCCCTCTACCAACTGTGTTAGAGGTCTTCAAGACCATCCCCAGGTTCTGTGGTTCACTAGGAGGACTCAGCATGTAGTCTTATTCATAGCTTTGATTTATTATAGTGAAAACATACAAAGAAAAATCAGCAAAGGGAAAAGGCACCTGGGGCAAAATCCAGGGGAAACCAGGCACAAGCTTCCAGAGTCCTCTCCCAGTGGGATCACACAGGATGTGCTTAATTTCTGCAGCAACAATTTGTGACAAAATGTGTGAAATGTTGTCTACCTGGAAAGGTCATTACAGACTCAGTGCCCAAGGTTTTCACTGGGGACTGTTCCTGTAGGCAGCCTCTGCCTGGCACATAGCAAAATTAGAGACTCCCAAAAGGAAAATATATGTTCAGCATAAACTGTATTGTTTGTACAAATGGTTTAGGTATAGTAAAGCAGTCTTACCAGTTAATTGTGGGAACCCTTCCGAAATCTAAGTTCCCAGGTGCCAGCCATGGTCCAACCTTGTAAGCAGGCCTTTCCAAGGATAGCAGTTCAGGCCTGCTATGTTAACTTTTTTTTCGCACAAAAATCATAGACCTAGGGCTTTGGATGGAAGATGAATGAGATGTGGGTAGATTTACCAAGTCTTGTTGTACGGGTTCTGCCGTACCAGGAAAACTATGCCAGTTCTCAGGGCTTTTGTGCATTAATCTCCTAGGCATGAGAGACTATGACTAAATTCCATAGGGATTTACCATGTGGATTCCACTGTACTTGAGATGGCAGTTCAGGTTTCAGCTCTGCTGTACATTTTTGCAAGCTAAAACCAAAGACTTTAAAGTGTGTATTGGCCTCAGTGTGATGAGGCTAACATTTTTTCTTTATTACTACTATTTTTCTGATTTCAGATACATTCCCTTTTAGTACTCTTACTACTTTTTCTTCCTCCTCTTAAAAAGGTGCCACTCTCTATAGACAAACTTATATGAGAAGGCCAGTCTTGGAAGGGGAAAAAATATTTCTTAGTGTGATAGACTCTAATGTAGGAGAGACAAGAAGATAAGCTTAGAACAAACGGTTAATAATCAAGAATTCCGGGGTTCTTTTAACTGATTTTGCTACTCACTTGCCAGATTCATTTGGGCAGGTCACTTGTTTACTCTGCCTCAGTTTAAACCTGTTGTGAATGAATGAATTACCCCGTTGTATATTTCATAGAGACTTTATGTGGCATTTTATTAATGGAGGTCTTCAATGTAGGGCTTTTATGAAAAAACGAAGTATTATTTATTATGTATTTATTGTTTATTTATTTTTACCATGTTATTTAGACCAAGGGTGATTGATTAGTTCAGTTGGTCAGCAAGTGTACGGTGCTATGAAAGTCAAGGCTGAAGATCAGTCCACTATATGGTCACTCTATGGTCATTAATACCTAATGGGTAGTCTTGAAAATAGATGTTATTGGCCATAGAAATAGGCATTAGGGAGTGGTTGGAACCATGTAGAGTCATCACTAAGCAAAAGGTAACTTTAAAGGCATGTTAACAGTGGGTCTTTTAAAATGACTGTCATTTGGTTAAAGAGTTTTTCTGGGCATTGAAATAATCTGACAGCATCTCCCCCTCTTTTTTTTTTTCTATGATCAGAATCCCTAAAATGCTGGCAAATGTCTTTCCAACAAAATTGTGGTCAAAGTAGGATGCTGGAGAATGCTGATTTTAGCAAAAGCCTAGTAGAAAAGAGTGGCTTGGCACATGAGCTTTAAAAAAAGAAAAAGCTGGTTCTTGAATTTTGGCACAGTGCAACCTGTTTCATACCAGACAAACGAACAGGCTTAATCTGGTACCAATTTTTTTCTCTTTTACCCCTCAGAAGTAAAGGGATTGCAGATCTTGCTGTTTTGGGGCACTCTCATGGGAATGTATGTAGATTTTTTTTGAATGATGAGAAACCTGAATAATGGATAAGGGGAAGGAATTCCCTTGTTTTAGCTTTTCTTGATGCTGTAGCTGATAACTATGAAGAAATCTCTCTGAGAAAAATGTGAAATGAAGATGACTCAGCAGTCAAGATACTAAGTTTTCACATCACAGGTAAATGAAGGGCTAATTAATGTGTGGTATGGTCAGACAAAATGAAGTACTTATTTGAATTACTATGTGATAACTAATACTGCTCAAGAAGGATTTATATTTCAATAAGATTTGTACTAAATTTTATAAAAATAAAACAACTTTTTATAAATCCAGAGTCTGCCTTTGTATCTTTGTTGTTGCTTTGCCAAGAAGTTAAAAAAATAAAAGCCTTTTGGTCTGTAGAAATGTTGACCCATATTCATACTTACTGGTGAAATATCTCTAATCTGCTGTTTATCATCAATCATTCCTACAATTTTTTATTTTGGGGAGTAGCAACTGAGATATAGAAAACAGTCTGCCAAAAGAGGCAGGAAGAACTTAATTTCTTTCTTGTTCTGCCACTGTTTGGGCAGTTACCTTGAAAATGATGATGTTGAGTGAATCCATGAAGACAGGGCCTTTGGCTGTCTTCAGAACTGGGTTTCCAGTGCCTAAAACAGTCTTGCACCCATAGTAGGTACTTAATAAGCAGGCTGAAAGAATAAAGAGGATGAGAATGTGGTTTAGAATAACCTCCATTGGAAAACCTCCTCAAAGAGCATATCCGTGGGCTGCGTCACAAACGTCACTTTTCTAGATAAATGACTACTTACCTTGGGGAGGGTGTTCTATCCAGACCCCCCTGACTCTTCTGCAAGCATTGTATAGATGGAGGCTTTAGAACAACCAAGCCACTGACAGCTGTAAAGAAGCTTCCAGGGGATGTTTTTATCATTAGTGCTTTGTGGGTGACTATAAAGATTTTCATCATTAAAAAAAAATTAGTTCTGGAATGAATAACCACTGGCTTAATTCAATCCTTTGCTTACCATCTTCTGAAGCTTTCCCACAGCAAAATGCCTTCTTTTGCTCACAGCTAGAGCCTTGGGTCTGTTTAAGTTTGGAAAGGTCTTGAAAACAGCTTGCCAGGAGGTTTTGTATGCAAGGAAGAGAAGGTGAATTAGGAAACTTTCCCAGTTTGTTTTTTTCCTGAAACTTAAGTATTGAGGCATTCTTGGAGGGAAGAGAGGAACTCTTAAAATGCATGTTTTGATGACTCATTGGGTACAATTAATTTGATACTTAGACTATAACATTATTAAAATAGGGGAAAATAAGATATTTAGTACATTTAATATTATTAAGTTTGGGGTAAGGTTTGCATTTTGGCCATTGTATACAGATGAATGGAACTCCTTCCAGTTATATTGTAGAAAATTTAATTGGGAGAAGCTTCAGGATAAAATTGTCATGCTAGGATGAACCAGCAGGTGGCAATATGTCCTGTTCTGATCATTAGAAAAGTGTCCTGGAACCCTAATCTGCTTCTATTCTTTCCAAAAATAAACATTACAAAATGAGCTGGCTGTGCCCTGAACTTTAAAAAAAAATCAAGCAATAAGAAGTAATCTTTGGCTTCTGTTTATCTTTTCCTTTTTTTACCCTATTCTAACGTCAGTCTTAGCTCATGCATCTATTCAAGGATAATGATCCTTCCGTGAACTGTTGCAGAAAGACTTAGAAACAGCATTGTTAAGAGGTAATTGTTTCCTCTCTCTGCATCCACTGTTTATTAGATTTGATTTGCCATTTGATTTCCACAAAATGGCTGAAGTCCCTTACTACCAACACAGGTTTAAGATAAAAAATCTGAAGATAAATGGATAAAAGGGATAGCCACTTTAGACGTTTGCAGGCAGAATTGAAGAACTATATCGTTGTGGTACTTAAATTGTCACAATACTGAATTATTCAATCATAAAACTAGACGGATATTTAAATCTCTCTACCCGGTAGGGGAAAAAAATAAAATAAAAAACACGAAAAAATATTTGGGAACTCTTCAGAGAGAACCATAATACAATTTACTGGATAAATTTATTTTCTCCACTTCTTTCCACAAATTTAAGTCGCTATGGAAAGCAACATGCTTTCTCAATTGGGCAAATAGTACATTTCATTTTGCCAAGGCAGAAACAGTCGAAAAGCACTATTCATACCAAGAAATCCTGGCCCCAGTTCCCAAATCTTCTTTCTCCCCAGCCCTACTCGCCTCCCTTCCCCAGGCCACCCCTGGCAGCCTGGACTTGTGCGCGGCGGCCCCCCTCCGGGGACGAGGCCAGCCAGCAGGTGCCCAGGTGAGCGGCCAAAGCCAGAAGCTCTCTGTGCAGGGTGTGCCGCAGGAGCGAGGGACGTCGTCCCGGCACCTGGACCTGAGCTCGCGTCCAGCGGTCAAAAGCACTCGATACGTGTTACCAGAACATAAGGAGGACAAGTACATTCCTTAAGGGATAAAAGTTTCCAGGACAAGAGGGTGGGTGATTCCCAGTGAGCCTCTCGTCAGGAACTCCTTGGGATCGGGGGCAATTCTCTCCGGCGGTCTCTGGTTAAAGCCAACTTAGTACCAAGTAGACTTCAAAGTACACCTCTCCGGCACTCACGGAACACAAAGGCCGGCAAGGTTTGGAGAGTGGGACTCCCAGGGCCGGCCTGTCCCTGACCTCCCTCCACCCCACCGAACTACTTTTCCGCTCCCCCCAGCAAGGCTCCGGCGGAAGCGTCCGCGCGGGAGCGGCGCAAACTCGAGAGCGACGGGAGGCGGAGGGATCTAGGGTGAGGCGGCTATCTGAAGTCAGAGGGGAGGCGGCCAAAAAAGTCGACGGGGGAGGGGAAAAGCGAGCTCTCGCTGGACGCGGCCGCGGCCAGTCGGGAAGACAGAACCGGAACCGGAATCCGCGCGCGTGCCCGCGATAGTCGCGCGTCACCGCAGCGCCGGCGGCCTCCTCCGCCCTCCGCGCGCGCTCCCGCGAGGGCGTAATAACTTCGTATAGCATACATTATACGAAGTTATACGAATCTGTGTACCTCCAACGTGCTGTGACTGTGCTGAGCAGCTCATCTGAAGTTGCTCCATGCCACTAGGCCACAGAGGGCTCCTGATAGATGTTTGTTGACTGACATCGCGCGTCACCGCAGCGCCGGCGGCCTCCTCCGCCCTCCGCGCGCGCTCCCGCGAGGGCGCCCAGAACCCGGCGAGCCGGCCCTGCGCGGGGAGTCTCCGCCGTCGCTTCAGCCTGCTGCTGCCGGGGCTTCCAGGCCGGGCCGGTCGGGAACCTCCCTCCCCTCGCGGGAACCGCCGCCTACCCAAGCATCGGGGAGGGGCCGCTGCCGCCGCCTGTGCAGACTGCGGAAGAGTCCGGGCCTCAGAGGGATGGGGAGCAGCCTGCGGCACTGAGAGACCCGGGTTCCTGTCACCTAGGGCTACGGGACCCCCTTTTCGCGGCACCCGCGGCTAGTCCCAGCGCCCGGAGCCTGGTGGGGGTGGCGAGGGAGACAAGAGGGGTCCCAGGGTCGGGGGACATGGAGCCGCGCGAACCCGGCGCGGGACTGTCCGAGACGCGGCCGAGGCTGCGGCCACGAGCGGCCGGCAGCCCCAGATAGAGAGCAGCGGCGAGAGGGCCCGGCCCTGCGGCGGCGCCGAGTTCGAGGCCCCGAGAGTTCGGAGGAGGAGCCGACACCCGGCCCTGAGCTGATCCCTCCCCAGCCCCGGAGGGATTCCCGGGTCCCCTTCCCACGGCTCGCGGACTTCCCTCTGTGACGAAGTTTTGTCCTTTTGCCTTCGGAGGATTTATCGCTAGCTCTAGAACTGGCCTTCTGGCCGACCTTTTCAGTTTGTATTGGAAGATAACTTTTGCTCCAACCCGCATCCCTTTTCCTCGATCCCTTCCAATCGGATGTTCTAGATGACTGAATGGAGTTTCGAGTTGGACTTTTGTGTCCCTGACGAAGTTGGGCCTGATCTCAGTGCACTGGGGGTGGGGCGGAGGTGTTACTGTAAAATGCAAGTTGGATAAAGGGAGGACCTCTCGCCAAGGGCCCCAATGAGTGGCACACAGTCTACTATCACCGACAGGTTGGTATGAAGTTCCTCCTTCGCCTGGCCTCCGTCCATTCGGCCCAACCTAGCAGGAGAATGGGAGATTGCAGATTGCCTTTGGCCAGTGAAGTTGACAGGCGTGGGCAAGAGGGTTGTTTCGGAGCTATGCAATTAGTCTGGGGTTGCTGCCAAGTTATCCGGTTGATTGAATTTGGAAATATACTTTTTCTGGAGAGAAACTTTCCCCCAGACTTTCAGAGAAGGGGTGGGTAAAGCCATGATTGTGATTTTCTGTCTGTAGGGAGCATTAGAATTCTGAACTCATCTTGAGGTCATTTTGGGTGAAGGTCAGTGCCTGAAGTTGGTGGGGTATTGGTGCATCCTCAGTTTTACTTCTGTCTGTCGTAGATCTCCAGACACGGTTACTTTGAGAAATTTATATTTGTGAACGCAGTTTTGAGCCTGTTGCGTGGTGATTTGTGAACTTGATCTCTTTTAGGTATTGACTTGCCCAGTGTTTATTGTCTAATATTTTCCAGAATGTTGACATTACCAGTCAATCACAGGCTCTTGCTGGAGGCAAACAGCCAGGAGCTGGAAGAAATGAGAGAAAATCATGGGGATTGCTTTTGTTTCATTTTAATATATCATCTTCCAGAAACACTTGCGTTTAAGGGATATAAACCCTGAGCATAGTACAAGCGTGGCAGGTGGATTTGTTGAGTTCTGTGTTTATCTTTTAACAGTGTCGCATGGTGGTGTGTGGTGAATTAAGCTAGACCATATGTGGTTGAAGTGGAGTTCCCTTACTCTTACGAGTTATTCTTTTCAGTGGGTTAAGCGATAAAAACATGTTATTTTACCACATTTTGTTTCTCAATTTATGATACTATGTGCTAGTGCCAAATTTCAGTCAGCTTGCTTAAAGTCAGCCTTCAGACTATTACATCATAAAAAGTAGATCAGATAACTGAGAGTCCCAAAGCTCTTTGATGAAAAGTGCAACAATAGTGCGCCTGCAGAAAGTAGTTTAATTTCCTAGTAAGAGAATTTCACTCAATTGAAGATCCATTTGTTGACTTTAAAAGGGCCAAATTCCGTTATCATTCCATGACAGCTACTCCAGAAACAGAACTTCCTCTTCCTGTTGATGGTTTCCAGTGTCACATGAATGTTCACCTAGAAAATTCCATTAACTATTTAAACTATTTATATTTATTGTTTGTGTATTTTTAAGTGGGTTTTCATTTTCAATGAAAAAAAATTTTTTTTCTGAGAATGCACTTAAGTGAGTAGCAACAATGCTTATCTTGGTTTCTTTTAGTTATCCCGATTCCTTTTCCTTTCAGAGTGTTTTGCTTCTGAGAAATCACTTTTATGGTTGTGTATGGATCATTGTTTTCCTGGTTCATTCAATTCTTGCCTTTTTTGTTGAGTCTGTAGACAAGAAGTATTAATAGGAGCTAATGTAATGTTGGCTTCCATTCCGATGCCAGGGTATTTAATTTGTAGAAACAGAACTTAGGGTCACCAGCTCACTCCACACAAAAATCACTTAAAAGCCCCCAAGTAATGGAGCTTTTCTTTAGTTTTGCTTCTTAGGGACTTTTTTCTATTTCCATTATTTTGAAAATAAAATCTCAAGATTTGTGTCCTTTTTAAAACTTAGAAGGCATATAAATATTCAATAAGCATGCAGTTATTGAAAGCCTGTTCTTTGCCAGGCATTGTACTATTTATGAAAGATTAAAAGATGAGTATTCTAAGATTAATCTGTAAATTGATTTGGGTGTTAATATTCTTGAACTGATTAAGGTGCTGCCTAATTTTACATATTTTTTTTAAAAGAAAGAATGCTTGAAAGCCACTTAAACACTACTGAGACCTGTTTCTTAGGAATTTATTACAAGGTTTTTTTGTTTTATTTTTTAATGAGATATTTTTATGTGACCACTAATTTTTCTTTAACCATATCTTATTCTGTGAATACAAAGCATCCATTTGCTCTTTAAGAGAGTAGTTGTCCCTGATTTGAATATATGTTGGGGTGAAATCTGGGAGTACTGGTTTAGTGTTATTTCTGTGCCAGGGTACCTTAACAAAGTTGAGTGTGGAATGGTTTCTAGCTTCCTCTCAGCATTCCCTACCTCATCATCTTTTCTCACTGTCTAACTCCAGTGTACTGTAGGTATGTTTTGCTGATTCTAGAACTGTTGGCAAATTAACAGTGCCAGTGTAGCTTTTTAGAGATCCTTTCAAGACTGAAGTACTGTATTTGGTATGGCTTTGTTTCGTAGAGTGTGCAGAACCACCAGGCCAGCTGTGTGAGTTAGAGTTCTTGCATTGTGGTGCTTCTGACTACAGAGTCTGTCTGTCCTAAGTTGAAATCAGACTAGCTGGTTTTGGGCGTTGTTCTGTTTTGCAGTTTGTGGCAGGCGACACATGGCTGAACAAGATAAGAAGGGTTTTATTCTTGTGGTAGGGACGTGCTGGGGCTGGGATGGAATTCAGCTATGTTTAGTCTCTGATTGGTCACTTTGGATACTTAGAACTCTGTTATATCCTGTTATTATTTTGCAGTTACATTCACTTGCTTCCTTCTTTTTCTCTTCATCTTCTACTCCCCAGCCCCCACCCCTCTTTTTAAACTTAAAATGCAAACCTTTTTTAAAACTTCAACTGTGTTCATGGTAGCTATTTTTTTAATGTAGTATATCTGAACAGCTTGAAAAAAAGCCTAAGCAGTTTATGAATACCTTCCAGTCTCTTGCTTTGTAACTTCCATGAGACCTGGAGGTGATACTTTCAAGTTTAGAATGATCACTTGAAAAGTGATAGATTTGGATCCAGTTACCAGCCAGCTGCCCCCCCCAAAAAGAAAAGTGGCAGAAATTTCTGATTGCCGTTTTTTGGTCTGTATTGATTGCTGCATTCAGTCCTAAAATATATCCTTAATTGTTTCCAATCCTCCTAGATGCCTTTCTTCTATCCCTGAGAATTTAGGGATCCTATGGCAATTGGAATTGCTTCTGAACGTTAGAGAGGAGAGAATGCTCTTTCAGTGGACTCAGTAAATGATTTCAGGCCAAATTCTATAACAGTGAATTTTTGGGGACAAGACAAGTAGGAAAGTTATAAGGGTCTTCCTAGAAATAAAGGGACCTTTGTTTTGCCTAGGGCTTATGGATTTTGTTGTTCTTGACTTGTACATAAACAGAGGTTTTTGGTGTGATGGAATTTTATTAACACCAAATTCAGCTTTAAGTTTGTTTTACTTAAGCAAGCTTTTGTTTGTTTGTTTGTTTGTTTGTTTTTGTTTGTTTTTGATGGCTGGCCTATACAGGGATTTAACCCAGGACCCTGGTTTTATCAGCATCAGGCTCTAACCAACTGAGCTAACTGGCCAGCCCTACTTAAGCAAACTTTTAAAGGGACTATGGAAATCTGTGACTTTGTATGCATATACCCAGTAATTTCATTCATGATACTTTTCCTGCTAAAATTGTTATTATAACACTTGATTAAAAAAAAAGAACTCATGTTTGTGTGCTGTTTTCAAGGCTGTATTAGTCATTTGTCTGCAAGGTGAAATTATTTGTAACGTTTTCTTGTAAAGTCAGCTGATTGGTAGATACAGAATTGAAATTGGGGTTAAGGATCACAGTGCTAGTAGCTTTGTATTCAGGGTTTTTTTGACTTTTAGTTGTTTAGCATAAAAAAATCTTAATTCATATAGGTATGCAATAGTACATTAACTTGAACAATTTTCATGAGTCAACATGTACAGACCAAAGTAAATATGTAAAAAAGTGCAGAGATACAGTCTTCCTGATTAATGGCACATTTATAAGATGTTCATATTTATTTAGTGAGATGACAAGAGAAGCTTTATTTGAAATCATTACAAAAATATGTTAACCTGGAGATACCGTTTAACATATTGGTGTTTTCCAATTGTTAACATCTAACATTGAATTGAATTAACATGTAGGTTTTTTTTGTTTTGTTTTTTTAACTAAGATTGAGTTTTCAACTAAAATGAAATTTGAGGCAAATATTCATGGAACGCATAAATGGTGGGTTTTAGTTTTTATGGTTTGTTTTGGTGGAGCATTGTGATTCTAGGGAAAACAGTTGGAAAACCTTTGTGTACACATGTGGTTGCCTCTTCTAAATGTCATTCAGAAACAGGTATGACTTGCCTCCCAAACTGATATAGGTCACAGAACCAGCATGATATTTTAATGCTTCTCCAGAGGTAATTGGAGTGACTCTTGTATCATGGTTGTCTGACAAAATTATTAGAAATGTTTGTTATGTAATTGCTTATCTCCTAGAAGTTGACTGTGCCACATCTTCAGGAACAGGAAGTTTAACTTCATTTGGTCTCATCCGTTAAAACTTTGTTTTGAGGATGTAAAGCTTTATTTGAAGACATGCTTCTTTTGCTTTTAATAATTAGGAGTCTTCAAAAGAGTGCTATTTGAATTGAAATTTTAAAATCAGCAGAATTATAAATATTTTGCTTCCCTTTGAGTAAAATATCCTCATATATGTAATGGTATTCTTTTTTTTATTAGCATATTCATTCTTACAATGTAATGGTATCCTATGGTAGTTTAATTCTTTAACATTTCAAGTATTTTCACTTAGTGTAGGGCAGATCATGCTTCCATCATTTACACTTTAAGGCAACTTGTAGAGCTTAAGTCAAGATTATAAAACTAGAAAGGACAGACCCAAGATTTTAACCTAGATTTTCTGGCTCTCAGGTTCCTTATTTTTTCACTCTAAGTCATTGTCTTTTGGGCTGGCTGGTTAGCTCAGTTGGTTAGAGCGCAGTGTTATAACAGAGGTTAAGAGTTTGGATCTCTGTACCAACCAGCCATCAAAAAATAAAATAAAATAAATTATTGTCTTTCTATGTATGTTGTTTTTCTGTCCTATTTTCCTTTAGTAACTTTTCAACTTGACCAAATCAGAGTTGGATTTTCCTCGTACAGGTTGCTTTCTAGGACCTCACACATTCTAATTTT